TTCTTTGAGGTCCCTGTTTACATCCCTTGCTCAATCTTCTGTTATGTTGTTCATATCTTTCTTATAAATTTGGTTGATTTAAAAAAATATTCTGATACTGTTCCTTTTTTTGGCCGTATTTGTTACTGATACAGTTTTCCATTTGTGCTGTTATTTAAACCTTCTTAATGATGCATTTTTTTTGCCATATAGATGTTTCTAAATTTGAATTATCAGAATGAAGACATTCTCCTATAGTTTCTCTAGATGTTTTAGACTTACGATTTTGGCATTTAGGAATTTGATCTGTCTCAAATTTATTTTGATCACAGAATGAAGTTGAATTTTATCTTTTTTTCCATTTTAGTAGTCTATTATCAAGGTTCAATTTATTAAGTACTTCATCCATTCCCTAGTGATTTGCAATGTCATCTTATATCAAATGCCATTTATTTAGGATATAAGCATTCACATATGCCCAGGCTACTTATGACTTCTCTATTTCACTGATGTGTTTATCCTTACCTACTCCAATACCATGCTATCTGAATTATCGTAGCTTTCTCATTCATCTTATTCTCACATTTTTCTTGGCTATAATTAGTCTTTACTATTCAATATGAATTTGGGGGTAATATTCCAAAATTAAAAAAATTTCAGTATCATTTTTAACATTTTTCAACATGAACAAACTATAACTCCTCACTTTGTAAGAGGTTTTCTTCTATGCACTTTAATGAAGATTTATAGTTTCCTTCAAAAATTCCTTATGCAGCTTTTATATTTTTCACGGAAATTTTTAACTTTTGTTGGTGTGTGGTGAGATATGCTTTTTAAAGTCCATTTTTCTGATTAGTTATAACTGCTGCAAAAAACACTGTTGAATTTTGTGCATTGATTTTGTATTTAGCAGCCTTGCTAGAACCTCTTATTAATTTAAATTTTAAGATTTTATTTTTATAGATTTTTTTCATTTTCTATGTAAAAAGCCTTATTTGCAGGCTATAATGACAATTTTATTTCTCCTTTTTAAATCTTTACACCTCTCCTTCCCTTCCTCCCTCACTCACTCCATTGTTTTCTTCTTTCCTTCTATCTTATTTTTCTCTTTTCTCCTTTCTTTCTCCCTTCCTCTCTTCTTTTTCCCCTCTGTCTTCTCCCTTTACCTCTATCTCTTCACTTCCTACCCCCCCTTTCTTCCACCTTCTTTCTCTTCTACACCCTCTCTCTCCCTCTTTAATTTTTTCCTCAGTCACCTAGTTGTGCACATATACTGTCTTCAAAATGCTTTGAAATTTAAACCTTTTGATTGGAAGCATACAACTTACTGTCAACACACCTTTTATCACTAATACCAATAGAGTTTATTGTATTGAGTAATGTCTCATTCTCCATTTTTAAATAATCTTATGCATTCCAACATACATATTAGCATTTATATTCTGTAATCACTTGAATCATTATTATAATACAACCACTGTTAGTGTATTTTATCTTTCACTTATAATGGCTCACATTTGTAATCATTAGTTACCCTACATCTGACATGAGAATATAAATAGCACGGAAAAGAAATAGGTTAGTCAATTTACAGGTTAATCATTTGAACTTTAACTTCTTAATTTTTAGCCGAGTTCCAGATCAAAAAAGACCTAGGGAAATGTTAGTTATTGTGTAACTTGATTGTTTTAAGGATAGCAATATTACAAGATATAAAGGTTATTATCATGTGAATATATAGGAATGGCATAAAAAACTTATGATCTTAATCATATTGAAAAGGAGGAATTGCTGTTTGTAATAAGGTGAAGGGATTAGTCAAAGGACTTGTATGAAGGACCCATGGAAATGGATAATGGTGTGGGGATTGACTATGGAAGTGAGGGGCTGAGCGGAGTGGGGAAAAGGGGGGAAAATTGGTACAACTGTAACAGCATAAACAATAAAACATTTAAAAAATGAAGAGGAGGAATCACAACATAAATGCTATAGATCAAATCAAATTTCTTTTGCTAAGGTCTATACACTCTGACATTCCTGGAGAATCAGTAGTCCCTTCAGTAACAGCCAGAAACACATGAAGGAAGATGGCAAACAACACATCATGCTGAAAAGTTTGCTGTTTTTCTTTTTTCCTTATTGCATTAGAACCTGCTTTGGATAAGTCTTCTGATACATTTCTTTTCTTCCCTTTTTTTCTCCTCTTCTTGTACCCATCCCCCAGGAATAGCAACTGAAACCCTGACAAGAGTTTAGTATAGGAAATTAAGTTTCACAGGGACTATTAACATTATTTTTAAATTCTTTTCTGTAGAGAGACATAAATAACCTATTAAAAAGTTTTATGTTTTTACAATAGTAGAACTTTTCCTAAATTAGTTTTAAGAGAATTTATAATGGTTTTATTTTTTATTCAACTTCTATGCTTGCCTCACTCATTGATCACGTTTATTCAAGAGCTATATTCCTGACAGGTTTTGTATAATTTTTCCAACATTGTATTATGAAAAAATTCAAACATAAAGCAAAAACAAAAGAATTTTACATCAATCATCATGCACTCAGCAACTAGATTCTATCACTAACATTTTAGCAGATTTGCTTATCTCATATGTATGCGTTTATTCATCTCTTTATTCCCTCATTAAATCCATGTTGTTTTGATGCATTTCAAAGTAAATTGTAGATATCATTACCCTTTTCCATAAATACTTCAGCATGTAGATCATTAACAAATCTTAATGTAATATGTATAGTTTTGACAAATGCATACCTGTGTCCTCAAATTCTATCAAGATATAGAATATAAACATAACAGAATAGTTCCCTCATGCCTTAACCCAGTCCATACTTCCTCTAACCCCTCCCTGTCTCAGGCAGTCACTGTTTTAATTTTTATTTGTTCTAAAGCTTCAACATGTGCTCTTCTACAGCAACACTCTGGTTGCTGTGCAGAAAATAAATTGTAGGAGAACAAAAGTGGAATCAGGGATGTGATTTGGGAAGCCACGGCAGTAACCTAGGTGAGGTGACAGTGGTTTGGACCAGGATGGTGGCAATGGAAGTGGTCAGACTCAGAGTAAATTAGAGTTTGGTGGAATTTCCTGGTGGACTGGATGTTGGTCTATGGCACTGCCACTTCCTGAGATGGGGAAGCCTTGATAAGAAGTAGCTTGGGTCAGGAAAATTCAAGGTTTCTGCTTTGAACAATGTTATATTTAAAATGCCTATCAGATTATAGCTCAGCGTTGGTTATACATATAAACTCAACAAACTAAGTTACTGTATGTATGTGTAACTGGGTATGTTGGATTCTGCCTGATCTATTACAAACATTTCTTTTAAAATTTCCTGAATTTCTTTCCTGTAGCTCTAAAAGTAGAAGCTGCAATCTGTTTTGGGGGTAAATTTACTCTTTCTTTAGGGAAGGATCACATTGAGGAGTGCTTTGAGTCAGGTATCCACTCTTTTTTTTGTTCGGAGAAGTGCTGATTTTTATGGAAGAAGGAAATGAATAGACACTATTATTCTTATAACAGAACAGGGGCTAGAGAGGAAAATGGATTTCGGAGGGCCCATGTGAATGGGAATGGCTAAAAAATACCAAGAACAGTAATATTTAATATATTTAATATTGATTTATTTTTCTTACTGATAATAATACCTTTATTTTATTTTCAAGCCTAAGTAAAGGTGTTAAACATAGTGGTCTTTTGAATGTGGATGTTTAAGAGACCTACTGTCTTTTCTTTGTGGATAAAAGGTTCTCTTGGAGCTTGAATGACACAGAAGCATACAAGATTACTAGAGAGGAATTATGGAAAAGTTTGGAACAGTTTTGTGGTATAGAAAAGAAAATCAGAAACTAGGAAAATGTAAACACTTTTCAGAAATTACTAGGGAGATGATTAGAGTACCTGCAGATTAGAAATTAGATTATTTAGTTGTTAAAGGGTAGGGGAGCCCCTGAAAGCTAGAGAGCTTGGGACCACCTAGGTAATATATCCTCATGTTTTTTGTTTTGACTTAAAAGTGTGAAAGGAGAGAGGGTGCACAGAAGACTGTTTTAGTTAGGACTATATGATTGATTATGTGATGAAAATTCAATTCCAAATTAATGTTTTATAAAAAGGTAATTTATCGACTCATATAACTAAACAGAATAATTGTGAATCTGATTTTAGACACAACTGGATCAAGGAGTTGTAATAACAGGAGGATCAGATACACTTCCCCCCATCTTTCAATACCTCTTTGCCTTTCAGGCTCTCCCCACATGTTGGCAAAAGTTGACTTTAGGTTTCCATTTGACCAGTTTAGCAACTCTAGCAGAAAGAATGACTCTTTGCTCATACTGGGATGGCATTCTTGGGCTGAGTTTAATTAGGCTGGCAGGATTCACTTGCTATGCTAAATGAATCACTGTGACTGCAGGGATTTGCTTCTTTAATTGCCTAAGCTTTTGTTCCATTCTTATCACTATTTCCAGAGGTTAGGGTCAGCCTCATTTAGCACCACACGGACCTACAGAGGGACTGACTGTTCAATTATCAAAGGAAAAAACATGCATTCTTTTACCAGAAGAAGGGATGTGGACTGTAAAACAATAATGTTCAATTCGAAGTGACTGAGAAAAGGAGACCAGGAAAACAGAAGGAAGGGAAAGAAATTAGATGAAGGAGGGGAAAGGACAAGAAGGGGGAGGAAAGAGAGGAAAACAAGAAAGAAAGAAAGAGAGGAGAAAGGAGACAGCAGAGAACAGAGAAGAGAGAGATTCATTTTGAGGAAAAGCCACATGCCCTATATGGCACCAGTGGGCAAAACTATATACTGTTAGGAACCTCAGACAAGACACTATTTAGAAGGTTTTACATAATTGTTCTGTGTTGAGAAGAATGGGAGACCCATATTTGGTTTTACAAGCAGACAAGTTCTCTTGATACCTTGTTCATGACTTTACTTGTGAATACAAAAGATTTGATCTGGTCCCACACTGAGGATATCGCATGTCTCAAGTCCTTTCATGGTTTCAATAAATGCAGGTATCTGCTCAGGACTTTCTTCATGGCCTCTTTAACTTCTTTATTCCTCAGGCTATAGATGATGGGGTTCAACATCGGGGTTACCACTCCATAAGACAGCCCAATGATTTCATCGGATGTTTTTGTATCCTTTGACTTGGGCTTCATGTACATAAAAAGGGCAGAACCGTAGAATAAGATGACTACAGTCAGGTGGGCTGAACAGGTAGAAAAAGCTTTTCTTCTCCCTTCAGCAGAATTAATTCTTAGAATGGAAGAGAGGATGAAAACGTAGGAGATGAAAATTAACAATAGAGGAATCATCAGTAAAACAATACTTGCCACTGTCATGATAAGTATGTTTGTGGAGATATCTGTACATATGAGTTTAAGAAGAGCCAGAATCTCACAGGTAAGATGGTCAATGATGTTATTCCCACAGAAAGGCAATACCATTGCCAGGATGGTTTGCACTAAGGAGTTTAGACAGCCTATGATCCAAGACCATGCAGCCATGTGCACATAAAGCACCCTGTTCATGATGATGGAGTACCTCAGAGGGTTGCAGATAGCCACATACCGGTCATAGGCCATCACAGCCAGGAGCACACACTCGGTGGAGCCCAAACCAAGAGAGAAAACCATCTGCAGAGCACAGCCAATGAAGGAGATGGATTTTCTCTCTGACCTAAATATGATGAGCATTGGGGGAATGGACGATGATGTGTAGCAGATGTCCAGGAATGAAAGGTTCCCAAGGAAGAAGTACATGGGGGTGTGAAGGCGAGAGTCTAGGATGCTGATGATTATGAGGAGGCTATTTCCCAGGAGGATTATCACATACATGGCGAGACAGAGCGCAAACAGAAAGAGCTGGAGCTCTGGGTATTGGGAAATTCCCACCAGAAAGAATTCGGTCACAGCTGAGTAATTCCTCATCTCCACGTGTCCATGTCACTTTGAAGATTTAGAAAAGGACAAGACTCAGGGAATTTTGATTTTTTACATGTAGATGTATTGAATGACTTTTACTTACATTATTTTGTTTTATTCTTAGAACAGAACCTGGAATCAGCAAGAAGAAGGATATTAAGTAATTTTATTTATGATGAAACAGGCACTGAGAGAGTAGTACTATTGAGGCTCAAACAGCAGCAGAGGCTGGGAGTTGTACTGAGAAGTTTCAGGCTTCCAGTTTAATAAAATATAGGGACAAACTACATCAAATGTGGATATGTAAGAATCTCTTCATTAATGAATATTTTGAAATATAACTGAATTCTAATAAAGCTAGATCCAATTTAAAATATCATATATATATATCTCATATATATATATATATATTCAGTAACATGCCACTTATCTTGAGTATGGCTATTTTAAGTTACTTTTTTTGAGTCTCAGCTACCTCAGCTACCAGTCTCAGCTAGTAAAATAGGGCGAGAGGCAGGACAAAACTATAATTTTGGGAGTTTGTTGTGAGAATTGAATTAGATAACGTCTATTAAGTGACAGGTAAGTGATTCTAACATGTCATCTAAAATTACACATAATATAATGGAATACAATAAAGTATATAATACAATATAACATTAGGTATATAGTAATAAGTATTATAAATTATAACTTTTAAATCGACTTGACTGACTGAGAAGGAAAAATTGCTTTTTTAAAAAAAAATTTCAGGGCAAGAGGATTGAGGATTCAGACCACAGTTAATGGAATGTGAATATTTTCTGATCCAAGAAGTGATCTGATCCAGACCCAGGGGAGATCTATCCAATTAAGAGTCTGGGAGTCAGGGCCTGAAATCTGGGCCTACTTTAATATGTCACTTCATATGACCTTTCTTCCTAACTTTTGTGATTTTCCAATGCTTTTTTTCTCTATTCTTCTTTACCACTTACCTCTTAGAAGCATATGTTATGTTTTCCCAGGTAAGTTCATATCATTTTATAAGTACTTATTAATATGTACTTTTTATCATTTCTATATTTGATATTTGGAATGCATATACAGGTCTTCCATATTATTTTTAAGTTTTGTCCATGAGTCTTCCACATGCAACTGATTGATAATGGCTAATTTTTACTGAATACTTTGTTATAAGCGCATTACAGTTTTGTAAGCTCATTACATTGAATGCATTAACTCATTTAATCTTCAATGCAACTCTGGATAACTTTTTTTACTCCCATTCTTCTGGGACAGAAATTGAGACAAAAGCTTAAGTAATGTTCACAAGGTCACAGATAAATGCTAAAGGCAAAATACAATATCCAGTTGTCTGGCTCCAAAGTCAGTCTTCTTAACCACTGGACTACTTCTCACAGATTCTGACACTGAGTCAAAGCAAGAAGAGACTATTAAAAAAAAGTTCCTCTGCTGTGTTTAACTGAAATAGCAAGCATTACTTGTTTGTGTTATTTCTGATTGTAAGTGATGTCATGGGGCAACTCTAAAGGCTGGATCACAGCCTTTTTCCTGTAGCCTTTGGAGAGTGGTGTCTATCGTTTTCAGCATCTAGAAAGTATATGTCCATAGTTTTCTCACAATTATGAGAGTTAACATAATTAAGAGTAATGATATGAGATTCCTTAGCATTTAATTTGTTTCTACCTGTCACACATCTGAAATCCTTTAGCTTTTGTCTTTACTCTGTAAATTATTATATACTTTAGGACCTGTAATTGTCCTAATTCTTGCCTTTTCTGCCTTTTAAAAAATCAAACCCTTCTTTTGCTAAGCTCTGTCCTTTTATAACTTCATATTATTAAAAACTCAACTATGCTTCAATTGTTTTTTATTTATTCTAAGATGGCCAAGTATGATAGTAGACTTGTATAAAGGACAATGTGTTTAGTACACTACTATACATTACGATAGCACTCTCATTGCTTGTGTTTATTGGGCTGTGGTGGTTGGATGAAAACATTGCCGATCATGTATCTTCACTCCATGACCCTGCATCCTCTTTGGCCTTTTTGTATCCAGAGAATTTGGAGAAGAGGATGAGGAGCTTACTCCTTGGCTAGTCATAATGACAGCACTTCTCAATGTATTTCCTCTCTATTCCCTTTCCATATCATTTTCCTTCCTCTTGGAGTGTATGACCTAGACAGTGATTTTGGTAAGGTGAAAAAAAGAGATGATAGCACTATTGTCTTCATATGTTGGAAACTATTCCCTTTTTTGTGCCCCTCCTTTCCTGTCTCTAGTCACAGTGGGATAATTTCTACAAAGGAATCAGATAAGGCAGAAGGTTTAATTTGTCTGAAGACACTTGTGAGGGAAGAGAAATAAAGGGAAGAGAATGAGGAGGAAGAGAAAGGAGGAAAAGGAGATAAATTTACTGTTAAAGAAAATGCACTAAACTTGAAATTTGTATCCTGGGACTGGGGTTGTTCAGGAGAAATGGGCAAAGGAAGAATGACTGTCTTTCTTTTCAAAAAAGGTTTCTAATGAGGAAGAATATTTTTCCAGAATCCAGGGTGAATAAGAGAAAGCAAAAACCCAGTAATTTCACCAAGAGCAAATTAATCTATCACATAAATTATCTTAATTCCCTCAGTGTCCTTCCTGCCCACTTCTGCCATTGCTCCTCTCCTGATGGAGTGAAGGAAGAAATTACTGAGCGGGTTTTCTCCCAAGAATCTTCATCTGCCTCTCAACAAAAGTTATCCTGACAGAGAAATACAATCTAAGAAAAAACTGTGCAACATAACTTGAAGAAAAGTCCTCTTGTCACTTCTCTAACTACACTGTCACCCCAAACCCCTCTAATGCAGAAATTCTGAAGCCACTACTGATACCTCCAATTCCTGAACCAGCCATGTTGAATTTCTTTCTGGTCTCCCCCAAATACTACATTCTTTATGCACTTGTACATGCTGTTATCTTAAGCAGGAAGGGCTTCTCTCAACTTAGGTATTATCTTTTGTAGGAAAAGTTTCTTGCCTCTTTGCCTAAGTGGGATACCCCTGCTATGCGCTGTCACAGAAGTCCTGTGCTTTCTGCTCTCCTGGTATTCTTCATTTACTCTTCTATTCAATACATTCTATGCCCCATATACTGTGATATATCATAGGGAGCCCGCTGTAAATACTAGGCTATCAAAATGGACCCTGCATTAAGAATGCTTATGATACTTATTTTATGTTTTAAGAAACAAATAACTTATGTGCTGTATAACATGTTCCAAAGTAAAAAAGTTTTGGAACACTTTGCAAATTATTTTGTCAAACTAAAATTGCCTTTTCTTACCCAGACTGTCAAAGAAAGAATAAAACTGTGTTCAATCCCACTTAGGAACACACATGCAAAGACTACAAAGCACATCCAAACTGCATACTAAAATAACGTCATTTACTTTTATTAATGCATGGAATTCCAAATTAATGCTTGGGAATCTGTCAATATAATATACAAAACAAATTGGTAACAAAAAATAAAATACATTGTTATCTAACTAGATGCCCCAAAGCAATGATGAAACACGACGTTAATTCTTGATAACACCTCTTAATAATCTAGAGCTAGGAGGATAAATTACTAAGATGAAAAAGAGTATCTCTTTCAAACTGTTGATCAACATAATTCCAAATGATAAGATGCTGGTGATAATTTCCCTAAAAGTCACTTGCAGATGCATTATCATTATTATTTAACATTTTTCTTAAAAGATCCAACAATAGAGAAAAACAAAAATAAATGACATTACATGTAATATATTTCAAGTTCAGCCATGCTTCAACAGATGCTATGTTTTTTTCACTAGGATGCTGAAATTCTAGCATGTAATGATTATGGTATACACATGAGAAGAGAGTGTCACATGTAATATCACCAGTGCAAATTGTAGTTTTGGAGAAGAGTTAAGGACAAGGGACAATGCTTGTGATATGATATTACACAAAAAAGATCTAATAATGGTTGCAATTATGTATATAATTATATATGAAGAAACTAATTATATATAATAATTATAATTATATATTATGTTCTATATGATAAATATATAATAATAATTATATATTGTAATTATAATTATGTAATTATATATCTGAAGACACTACTCCAACATAATTACTAGAATTTTCTCTGGAATATGGGATTTGAGGCATTAATAATTCTCTCTGTATTCTTTATATTTTCCGGACAATTTTAGCTATTCTATATGTTATGGTTATAAATATTAGAAATACTATTTTCAAATCTTCCTTGGAAGAGAACAGTGTCTAGATTATCCAGAACTTTGGTCCTCGTTATCTCTAAAACTCAAGTAGGAAATAAAAGAGTCAATGGACAAGCAGCTGGAAGAGGCCAGGCAGTTGTTGCTTTACAGGCTAATTTAATGCAATGCAGTGTTCCGAGTTCAGCCAATCAATCTCCCACATCTGTCCCCCATCATCAGACATATAGAAACAGCCTCAATTATTGCAAAAGGATTCTAGAACTTACCATTTAGAATGTTACCAAGCTTAGTAGTGCAGAAAGGATGCACTACAAAGCATCCAACAGTGTCACACAAGAAAGGAGAAAGGCAAAGGAGATACCTGGTGGGCAGGAGGAAGCATGGGCGAATATCAGGAACTTCTTTTACCTATGCTTTTTTCTTTCTGCCATAAAGGGGTAAAATTTCATTTTCCTTGTTCTCCAGGTTTTGTTCACCTCTCTTCAAAGGCTCAGTTCTTAGCTTGGTCCTTGCCACTGGGCATCACCTCTGGAAAGCAAGCAAGCTCTGCTTCAGGACCATGGATCATGGAGCATTCACCCCTTCTTCCCCACCCCTTGCCCCATGTTTATTAACTGGAGAGAGTAGTAGTTTGTAAAGCACATGTACTCCTCCAGGCTCCCTGATTTTAACCAAAGGAAATTTTTGAAGCACAGTATAGCACACTCACCATGGAAGATTTCCTCAAGAGGACATTTTCAGCACT